CATGAACTTGCCACTGTGTAGCTTCTATCTGATTGTCCTATTCACTACCAGCATAACTTGTTGGCTCTCTCCTGGCACCAACAGCTGAGTGAGACCAGGATTCATGTCCTTTGCTCAATGCTTTTTTTTTAACTGCCTTGATTGTGTCTGCCTGATAAAAATTTGCAGAGCAAATTTTATGCATTAAGCATATATGTACAAATATAGAAGGAAACGTTTACAAATTCAAAAGTTTACAATAGTGTAATTATTTGGCTAGATAGGATATGCAATTAAAATTTTACCGGGAATGCTACTGGATCTTTTTCAAGTTAAGACCAATTCATATTCTTAGTTGAGTAGATTTTGTGGACATAGAACAGTCTAAAATTATTGACTACCTTCCTGACAGTTTTCTACTAGTGAATTAAAGATATAAAAAGTGGTCAGTATGGGGGTCACAGTGATATTAGTACAGCAGTTAGGGTGCCTTCCTTGCAGCCAATGCAGGTTTGATCCACTGTGCCACATCCGAGCCCTGCCGGGAGTGATCTTGAGCATAGAATTAGGAATAAGCCTGAGTACCACTGGCTCTGATACTCAAAAAAAAAAGAAAGTGGTCGAAAACCGTTGTTTAGAAAAACACGTAAGTTATATTGTTGCTCTCAGTGTAAGCACAATGCAGGGCAACAAGAAAAGAGGAGAAAACCCATGTTCATTTTGTAAAACTCTTTCTTCTCTGTTATAAAGGTTGGTGTGCATCTGCAGTCAGACACATTCCTTTAGGTTTAAAATTGATAAAAAGTGCTAATTGAACTGACAGAATTTGCCGAGCTCTTAGGGAGAGACTTATTAACACCCTGTGCCTTATACCATGTTTGAAGAATTGTGGACAAACTACAGGCACAGCCCTGCTATCTTCTATACTGAAGATTCTTGAGATGTTTCGTGTTTTCAGCAATGCCACTTTCGGGAATGAATCCATGTGATAATTGATTGTGATCTACAATGTTAATAATTCTCACTGCAGTGTCATTTTGACAGGTCTGACAGTCTCTATAATCAACACCGTCATTATTTCTGACAGGGCTGGCAGATGAGTTTTATTAAAATGTGCAGAGAAAAAACTGTGTGGCTGAGAGAATATGTGGGAAGGGGGACAATTGTAGATGGTAGACAAAAGTAACCATGTAGCTCAGATATCCCTACCCTTCCTAGAAGTTGCTAGAAAGCATTTGGGTTTATAAAACTGTCAAAACTAGAAAAGTAAGCCTTCAGGTCTTTTGTAGTATCTAGAGAGAAATCACTCTATTCTACTACAGAGCTTTTACTTTGGCATATTTGTATGGTTCCACATTGCAAATGTTCAATTGACTATTGTCTTTCACTCTTACCTTAGCAATATACTTTAGAAAAAGATCAGACTTTTTAAGATAATGTAAGAAATTGCATCTGGTTCTCACAACATACTTTGAAAATATCAAAACAATTTCCCATACACTTTGCTTAAATAATAACTATTTCTACTTCATTTCATGAAGTTGTCAAAAGGCTTGCGTGCCAGGTGATTGGATCTTTTTAAAATGTGATGATAATGTAACTGTAGATGAAAGCAATACAAGAGACTATGTTCTTTCCAAAATGAGTTGTTAACTGAGATATGTCTGAGGTTATATTGGGAAGGTCACTCTTTTTTTGTTGTTTTGCCTTAACTTTCCATTTGGGTCAAAGCAGAGAAATAAAAGACATAATAGAAAAAATACAGAGCAGCAAAAATTTAATACATTTTCTGTACATTTCCACTTGGCAAGGTTGTCACAAGTATCTCCCCCCTATAGACATTCACAGACTATGGAACATCAAGTTGGAATTCATTCCAAAAAGCGGAGCATGAGCACTAGGTCCATGTCTATACTTGGGGGATGCGTTCCACCTGTTGAACCATCTCTCTAGCTGGAATTTCTCACAATCACCCACTCTCACTTTTCCAAATGATGAGGCTGAATCTAGGTTTCATGCAGAGTGTGACAATTAACAACAGTCCTCTGTGATCATAAGTCAGCGTAATGAGGACCAGGTCTCAGGGCTCATGACTCCAAGTACAGCACTCTTTTCATAAGAGAATCACTTCCAAATTACTCTTGTTCACTTGTGTGTTAGTGGGCTACCCCCAGCAGTACTCGGGACTTACTTCTGGCCGTGCTTGGGGGACTATATATGGTGCTGGGGATCAGACTGAGGTCAGCAGTGTGCGAGGCAAGCTCCTCTGTACTCTCTCTCCAGCCCTTCTCCAAATGACTCTTCTGCCAATTCTAAAGAGTTGTAGCCATTGTGAGTACATTTTTCCCCATGACTGTGTGAACTACTTATTTCTATTTTCAGTGCTCAAGGATGGGCTGTGCTATGCATGATGTATTTTACACACTTGTCTGGGCTGGAATTATTGCAGACATAACAGGAGGCTTTGAGTAGGAATCCACTGTATTAGAAGACCAGGCTATTTATTTTCCACATTGTGTGTGTGTGTGTGTGTGTGTGTGTGTGTGTGTGTGTGAAATGTCTTCAGTCATAAACAGCTGTCAAATTTTGGTGACCTATTTTTTACTGTTCTGTGACTTATCCTAATTTCATTAGAACACCAGGTTATTTATTTTCCTTCCTTCCTTTCCATAGGCAATCTGTGTTGCAATCTCTCATTGTCTTTTTCCTAGAATAATACATTGCTAAAACAGCAAAGTCCTGGGTGGATACGAAGCCAGTACCCAAAAGAAGACGTGGCTAGTTCACCTTTTTTAAATTCTAAGGTAGCAGTTAAATATAGACCTTGACTGCAACCCTTTAACTTTTTAAATCTCTCTTCACAAATGGCTGAATTTTATTCAACCCTCATTCTCAGACTTCAAGCCCTGCTCTGTCATCTCTCCATTTTTTGGATACTTATGATTCTCATGATCTTTTGGGAACCAAACTCCCTGTCATTGCTACCTGTTCTGGTCTTGGAGCCTATGATTTCAGCCTCCCTTTATGCTACATGTTTCTATACCATCCGGTCCACAAAGATACTTATTTAACTTTAAAATATTTAAAGTATTTAAATAATAATGCTATTATTTCATCTGCTATTGCTATGTAAGGTCAAAGCACAGGTTGCTCACAAATCTTTACAAGAAAACAAATCTCTAAAATATACCTTGCTCAGAAATTCTTTAAAGCACCCTAAAGCTGCTTGGGGCTGCTGGCCGGACTGATGAGAAATAACAGTGAACAAACCAAACAAGGGCAGAGAAGATACAGGCAGATGCACCTGTAAGGACCCCATCATGCCCGAAACCCTACAGGGCAACTGATTTCTATTCTTACCATGGAAGGAGCTTGCATTTAAAATCTCACTGAGGGGACCAGAGAGATAAGGAAATAGGGTGCTTTCCTAGCATGTGGCCAACCCTGGTTCTATCTCTGGCACTGGACATGGTCCCCTGATCACCACCAAAAGTGATATCCACACACAGAGCCAGAAGTAGCCTGTGAACAATGCAAGTCGTAGTCAAAAACCCCTCCCCTGTAAAACACATCACAGTTAGAATTGCTTTGTCTATCCCTAAACCTTTTGGAACACTAAATTTATTATAAGCCAGGGAAGTTCTGTCCACCATTCTAAAAGGAAGAACCAGAACACTTGACTTCTTTAGTTACATAAATCACTGTAACACTGTCAGTCCGCTGTTTATCAATTTACTCAAGCGGGCACCAGTAACGTCTCATTTGTCCCAGCCCTGAGATTTTAGCAGCCTCTCCTTACTCATCTTTCCCAACACTGCTGTATTGGAGGCTCTTTCAGGGTCAGAGGAATGAGGCCCGTGCCGTGAGGGCGGGATACTCTCGGTAGCTTGTCGGGCTCTCCAAGAGGAATATATATATATATATATATATATATATATATATATATATATATAAATCTCTTCAATCATTAAATAGAGCTGTCAAATTTTGGTGACCTATTCTTTACTGTGACTTATCCTAATTTCATAAACTTTAGAGTCTGCATTTGTAGTTCCTATGGCATGCCACTACTACGTGCAGATCCACAGAAGAGACTGTCAAAGCTCAAAGATTTTCCCTGGGAATCAGATTGTCTGCAGGTATTTGTCCTTATCCTCATGAAAAAACTGTCTGGACCAGAAAACACAAGCTCCTTTATGCTCTTTCCATCTGCAGGTGTGGCCTCCAATGCAAATCTGGACCTTCAACTAGCAATGAGAAATACCTGCTCTGTAGACTCTCAGCAGATAGGCCAGTATTTATATGCCCATCACCTACTTCCTGCCAGATAGCTCCTGACATCTGACAGATACAGCGTTAGGGAAACGTAACCTATTTATCCTTTCAGTATTAATCCTGCTAGATATCTGGTCCTTAAACTGTTTGTGATTATGGTACACTGGAATGGAGAAAAATACCTCTAGGCCTTCCTATGCCTCCTGGTTTTAGGAATAACAATGACTAGGACCAATACACGACCTATCACAAGATCCTCATGGTTACAGAAAATGTACTGAAAACACTGCAGCTAAATGTATAAAAGATGTTACCTGAGGCTCCCTTGTCCTGTTCCTACCCTTCAGGATATTATGGCTTTGCAAAATTATCTTAGAAACTTTGAGGTTAAGAAGCAGTGCAATATAGTGGGGAAAAGCCAGTCAACCCAACCACTTCTGACTTTGGATGAGATCTTGGTCTTTTTGCAACTCTGCTTCCTTACCTTTAAAATGGAGAAAATAAGAATATTCCCTTATAGGGTATTAGGGTTATTTTGAGGAATGAATGTGTTAATACACACACACACACACACACACACACACACACACACACACACGTAGCACTTAGAACAGGAAGCACTAAAAGTGATTTGCTCTAATTATCATATGAGCTGATGTTCAACTCTCAGCATATGGTATGATCAAATGTCTTATCCTATTAGGCTTCTGAACTTTATCCATTCAAACACAACACAGAATGCTTACCTACTGTGGCAGATGCTGAGGAGAGCAGAGATTTGCCCCAGGAACCCCAGCCAGTCCATCTTCCACCTTGTGGAGTGGAATCTGCAGTCTGCAGAAAAATAGATCAGCTGAATGTCAGCAACTTTCTATAACCCTACCTGGGAAAATAAGCTCTCGTTGATTTGAAACAAAGAAAAAAAAACCTTTAAAAAAATTACCAGCAACCATATCTCATGAACTTTTAGTTTATAAGGGTCATAAAAAAAAGCTACCAACCCACAGCGCAACAGTGTACTTTGGAATCAAATTGATTAGTGCTGTTTTCTAAGGGTTTAACTTCAAGTGAGAAGAGTTTGCTGTGAAACAAGACCCACATCTCCCATAATTTGGAAGACAGAAGCAAAGACTGTGGGGAAAAGATGTGGTGCATTAGGGCAAAAGCAGTGACTCGAAAAGGTTCACAAACAACCTGGACTCAGGCAAAGTTTTAGAGAGCTAAACAAATGTGCTCTTAAAACCTGCTCTGATGAAGTCCCTGTCTGGACACGGGATACTTTCAGAAGACTATTCCGAGAGCTTTCAAATTCCTATAGAAGTAGGAGGGAGTGTGGGTCTGGAGGCCAGTCAGAATGCCTAGGAAATCATCAGAAAGCCAAAAAGATGGGTATCAGCAATGAGGGCATGTCATTTAAAGAGACACCGTTTTATAATGGCCCACTTCCTCCCCAGTGACTCCTGTATCTCTCTCCTTTTCTATCTCTGGACTCAGCAGATTCAAGTCCTGTTTGTCTGGTCTGACCCTGAGAGATTTCTGATTCAGCCTGGTGGGTTAAGTAGAAGAGGAAATTCAGGCATGGAGGGGTGACGCTATTTCACCCACCATGCAGACTGACCCACAGGAAAAAGCAGAGAGAGGTGGAACAGAGGTGCTCTGTCAGAAAAGCTGTGTGCAGTCTTGGTAGTTTCTCTGTCCCGCTTCTTATTTAGGGTCCTACCGTCTAAGAGGGACTGTCTTTGGGTTCCATGAAATTTTGGGTTCCATAAAGTTGCTGCATGAATCTGTGTGTCTCTATTTTTAAATGCTTTTCTTACAAGTAACCAGGACCTAAAGCAGTATATGGAATAGAATGAGGACTTGATATAATTTCTTTGTAGGATAAATTACTGAAATTCATGAATTTCCTTAATTGTGCCATAGTTTTTGTTACCTGCAACCAATGTGTCCTGATTAAATTACTGGAACCAAAGTACTCCCTTACTCTCTATAAATGCAGGAGAAAGGAGAAAGGAAAGAGAGATGGGGGAAGAGAACTGGTAGTTAAGAAGGAAGTGAAGTGTTCCAACAGTTTATAGGTTCTAGAAATTTTGACCCACCTCCATTAATCACCCTCAACTTCCTGTAGCCTGCTATCTTGAGTCCATGATGACAAGGGCAAATCTCTGAAATGATTTTGATAAGTGAGGTGCAACTAGGAAAGTTTTAGTTTATAATGTGTAGATTATAAATTATGGCTGGATCCAACTTGCTGCATTTTAAGTTGCTGTTACATGCTGGGCTTGAATTATTTCTAAATGCATTTCTAACAAACATGAACCTAGTAAATGTTAAATACTTTCCATCAGTATAGATTACTGATCAAAGGAGGAAGCTAAGCAATTGACTTTTTTTTGTTTGTTTATTGTTGGGCCACACCCAGCAGTGCTTAGGGGTTACTCCTGGCTCTACACTGAGGAATCACTCCTAGAAGTGCTCAAGGGAACATACAGGATGCTGGGGATCAAACCTGGGCAGACAACATGCAAGGCAAGCACCCTACCTGCTGTATTGTCTCTCCAGCCAGGTTATGGGATTAAATTGCTTGGGCCTGATTCTAAGCTCTGCCATTTGGGAAACAAGTTATGCAAGGTTTTATGCCATAATTTATTAATTACTAAATGCAAGTTATGGGTGCCAACAGGATAGCTGAATGAGCTGGAGAGCACAATTTGTATGCTGAAGACCTGGGTTCAATCCTTGGTACCACATGGAACACTGAGCACTAACAAGAGTGATCCTGACCACCAAACTGGGAGTATCCCCTCTGTACCACCAAGTGAGGCTCCCCCCAAAAAACAAAAGACAAAATGCGAACTATGGTAGAAAAAGAACCAATAGCATTATAGGGATATTGTAATGACTATAACTGTAAGAATGCTTTATAAATCTGGCATGCAATAAATACTCCACAAATTTTAGTGGTAATAATAATAATAATAATAATAATAATAATAATAATAATAAACAACTTCATTTTAAGCACCAAAAGCAAAAAAACTTTAAAAGTTGACTGCTACTTTTTTTCTGTATGGGAAAAATGAGAAGATTGTTAGCATGAATGAAAATCCTCATAATTCATGACTGTCTGCTTTCATTTTTGGTGTCTACATTGATTTACTTCACTATGGAAATGGAAGTCAGTGGCGATTTTATATCATCATGCAGACAGATGTAAGTTAGTGATTAATACCATTCTTTCAGAGAACGAATCACTACCTATAGTGTTAGGGAGAATTAATACACTTAGGGGTGACAGCTTCTGACTCAAATTTACAATACTTAATATGCTCTGACAGCTGGTAATTGACTAGCAAATGGAAATAAATGTTAAATGAGTCTAGAACTTTGTGCAGTATAATAAATGACGACTTCAATTGCCTAATGAATAAAGCTCCTTTGACATTGAGCTGTGACCTCATAATCTTCAAAGAATACTTATTATAAGACGCAAATGACTAAATTCACATATTTAACATAAAAATCATCTGGATTCACATTCAACATGAATTGCATAAATATTTCTCAACATTGTATCCACTTTCAATGGCTTTTATATCACACAGATAAGAGACTACAAAGTAGATGACCTGAATCAACTCAGATCTCCCATGATCAAATATGACTATTTAAAGCTTGTTTTCTTACCCTCACCCAATGCAACTTTCACCTCCTTTACCAGAGAGATTCACATCCTAATGTACAGAGGAAACAGAATCTATCAGTGGAGAACTCCAAACTTCCTGGTTCTGCCCTTGAACTCTCAGGAGTAATGACCTCATCTTGTTTGCTATAAATCGCAAACCGGAATTGCCCTGATCAAAAGGATATCAAAAACTCAACTGGACGACTAATGTCAAAAGAGACACCAAGCCAATGAAAGTCACAAGTACATGGTCTTTGGGCTGAAAGCTCTGGGGCCTCCTCTGGATGGGGAGAGCCAAGAATCACCCCAGTTGTACAGATTCTGGAGAACCTGGAGCACATGGCTGATGCAGCTACATAACACCTCCAAATTTTGCAACACTGGCAGCCCAGCAGGAGCACAATAAATTGACAGGAAAGTAGCACAGAGGCTACTTTACCAGGCTGAATAAACAAAAATAATAACACAGAAGGCTCAACTAGCAACAAACAGCTCAGCAAATCAAAGATATTTTTATTAAAGATAACGCCTTTAATGACCCCATGGTGAGATATTACAATTTTTACAAATTTTCTTTTACTGAAGTATTTTTTGATAATTCCATTTGCCATATAAAATAAATTATTTTGTGCCTACTAAGGAAACAGGCTTGTTGGGCGGGAGGGGGAGGTTGGGGAAACAGGGACAATGGTGGAGGGAGGGTCACACTGGTGATGGGACTGGTGTGGAAACACTGAATGTCCAAAATAACTTTGTTGTTATGAACAACTCTGTTGTATTATGAACAACTTTTCTCAAACAGGGTATTTAAATAAAGTTAGGAAAAAAGCCTCAATTGGAGATCATATAAACATCTATAACTATTGTGGAAAGAAAGCAAGATTCTATCAAGTTCAAAATTCTTAAAATAGAACTGTTAAGAAAACTTTCAAATTATTTTAAAATAGAATATATTTGTATATCTGGAATCCCATTGAAGGGATTAAATAAGATAGATGCCTTTATTATACGCTCTCAAGATCAAAGGCATACTTAGAAAAAAAGTAGACACCTTAGATTTCTGTTGCAAAAGCCTTTAGTATTTAGATAGGAAAAAGATTCATATTTGTCTTAAAAATCAAAGATCAAGTCGGTTGTCCTATTTCCTTGAGTAGTTTAAAATCAGTTACCAAGTAAGACTTTCACTAGGGATATAAATGATGGAAACTGGGAGACCTGAACCTGGCACATAAATTGTAAGTTTTGTCATTCATGTAATTCATTGTAATTAGAATGGCAAAATCATTCTAAAAAGGGGCTCAAGGCTGGAGAGATGGAACAGAGGTTTAAGTTCTTGCCTTGTAGGCAACAAATCACAGTTTGATTCCCAGCACCACCAGGAGTGATCCCTGAGCAAAGAGACAGAAATAGCCCTTGAGCATTTCAAGCCGTGGCCACTCCAAAACAGAGGATCAATGTGACATTGGAGAGCATTTGGACTGCTCGGGATGCATGCATCTCTGTTAAAAAAAATTTGCTTGAAAAAATGCCCTTCTCATTTTCCATGTAATATTCTGCCATGAAAGGATGCATCATTGAACACTGGAAATATTTACAATCAAGTGTATAGAGATTTAGATGATTAAATGCTCGCATCTTCACAATCCTTGAAAGCTACAAGTATTGTGTTAATCAGCTCTACCCCTGTAGCTTTGCAGAGGTTAATCAAGTGCTTTCAAAGACTGTATTCATTCAATATGCTTGAAAGATTGAAGAAGGCAGATGTGGTGGTAGCACGCTGACTTTTTATTGTGTTGACTTTATTAACCATCTGGTCCTAATTATTAGAAGCCTGAAATTGGACTGTCTGATCTGTGCCTCAGAAGAAAATACACTTGGAACTGGTAGACTTGTGTGGTTCGAAAAAGTCATTTCAGATCAGAATGCATGACTAAGAAATATTTTTCTTGATGGGCAAAGATATTTATCAGCAAAAATATTCATAACAAAAAATGCTCCCAGATTAGAGGAAAAAGAGAGTTCTAAATGCTTCTGAAGTATCATCTGAGCATCAAAAAATTTCAGAGCCAGAAAGATACCGAAAGAGCCTTAGAAAAAGCTCCTAGAAGGGAATCTGAAGATGTTTCAAACTGGAGTGACTGATCTCAATATGGTTGATCTGGAGGTTCAAACAACAATAAAGCTGATGCTCAAGCCCCAAGCCTTGAATCTGAATCCTTGGGTCTAGGACAATGTCATGTCACAGTTAATGTCAGGTATCAACTTGGCTGGGCCACAAGAGGTCCAGCTATTATTGTTCAAATATCATTCTGGGGGCTGGAGCTATAGCACAGCGGTAGGGCGTTTGCCTTGCACGCAGCCAACATAGTTGACCTGAGTTCGATTCTTCCGCCCCTCTTGGAGAGCCCGGCAAGCTACCAAGAGTATCTCTTGCCCGCACGGCCTGGCAAGGTACCCGTGACATATTCGATATTCCAAAAACAGTAACAACAAGTCTCACAATTTGTTGTGAGACGTTACTGGTGCCTGCTCGAGCAAATTGATGAACAACGGGAGGACAGTGCTACAGTGCCACAGTGCCTTATTCTGGGTGAATCTGGGAGGGCACTTTCAGATTTGTGTGCTGAGCAAAGCAACTGTCCATTTCAATTAGCTGGGAGGATGGTGTTATCCAATCCATTCAGCTGAAGGATTACATAGTTAAGAACCCCAATATCAGAGGCTCTCAATTTTAGCTGAATATTTTTTGGGGTCACACCTGATGATGCTCAGGGGCTACTCCTGGCTCTGCACTCAGGAATTCCTCCTGGCCAAGGACTGACTCTGGGTTGGCTGCATGCAAGGCAAATGCCCTCCCCGCTGTACTACTGCTCCAGCCCCATTAGCTGAATATTTTAACAACCAGGAGAGCATTCAAAAATATCACAACAGGGTCTGTATTGGTCTGGATTCTCCAAAGAATCATGTTATATATACATATATATACATACATATGTATACATGTATATATGTATATATGATTCCCAGCACCACATAAAGTTCCCCTGGGAATCACCAGGAGTCCCTGAGCAAATATATATATATATTTCCAAACATTCACCATTGTTAGCTAGAGACTTCAGAAAGTCAAGCCATATACTTCTGGTCCAAGTCCAGTGATCAGAAAACCACACTTGCTTAGGGTTTAAGTTCCAATACAAGTTTAAGTCTAAAGGCGGGAGAAGACCAATGTTCCAGCTCAAAGACAGACAAGCAGAAAGAATTTTCTTCTTATTCAGTCTAATATAGACCCTAGCATCAATGTTTTTGAATGCTTTCCTGGTTGTTAAAACTCCAGAGAGGGTCCCAGGAAAACTCTGTAAACTCTAGAATTCAAGTTAGGTGTCTGTTTACCATGTCTGATGTCAATTCCCAGAAGGTCTTCACTGCCTCACCACAACATTCCTGCAAATCGAGTGTTTGTTTTCATTTCCTCATCTCTAAGGGTGGGCAACAGAACCCCCCCTCATCTTACAACACTCCTGGGACCCTTTGAAGACATGGTGCATGAGAACCTGCTTGTCAATCAAGTGTATTGGTCAGAGAGATACCCGAAGATCTTGATGTGAAAATTCTTCACTTTAATTTTTTTTGGGGGGGTCTCCCAAGAAATTCTCAGATGGCGGAAGACGGGAAACCGCTGGAGATATTTGCCAACTGCACAAGAAAATTCAATGACAGAGCTGAGTAATGTGATTCTGAATCACCACAACCACCACAGAAGTGCTGGGGGCCTCCAGGATTATACCAAGCAGTACTCAGGGGTTCCAGTGATGCAAGGATCCAACGCTCTACTTGGACACCCACCACATGACCTCCTGCCCCCAAAGTTATTTCCCTAGTCACAATTTTTTTTATTTTACTATGGTTTGAGGACCACATGTGTGGGGGACCACACTTGGCTATGCCCAGGGATTACTCTTGGCTCTGTGCTCAGGGATCACTTCTTGTGGTATCATATATGGTGGGGGGACCAAACTGGTGTCTTCTACATGTAAGACAAGCACCTTGACTCCAGTCATATCTCTCCAGCTCAAGAACTATTGTATATGGAGTGAATTATATAACATACACAATTCTAACAAAATGTTTGGATATAAAATCAATAAACCAAATAATGTGTTATAATTAACAGACCAATAACTGATATTATTAAGAATGCAATGATAAAAGCGAAAATATTATAAAGAAGAATCACTCTCAACATGGCTTTCTCACCACACAACACATCTGGATGACAGCAGTGATGTTGATATATTCTGCAGTCGCACCCTAACCCACAGCATTGGGCATAAAACTGCATCTATAAAGTGCATCAGACATTCAGGATGAACATACAGGAATGAATCACTCCTTACCGGGCTATTCGGTTCTTTCAGGGGTATTTCGGATCCTGGTTCTGCCTCGAGGCTGACAGAATCAATGCACTCAACCAGGTTGTCCTCGGTCACTTCTCCATTGTAGGGTGGATCCACGGTACAGGGGTCTCTGGGCTGCTCAGCATGCACAGAACCAGCAAGCTCTACATCCTGAATAGCTGTATTGTCATGTGCCTCTCCAAGGTCAGTAGACATCGGCTCACTTGCAGTCACAGCCACATCACAGTGCTCTCCTTTTTCTTCATCAGAAGAATCACTATTGGGCATCTTGATTGTTTCTGCCTTGTCTCCAGTGGCTAGGGTATCACTGGCATCATCAGACATTTTAATATCTGTTAAGACAATAACCATAAACACTTTAGGCTTTCCTCAGAATTGTTAAACTTAATTCAAAGTCCTCCATAATCACATGAACTCTGGTCAACTTCCTTCAAAGAGATTTCATATGATTGTAGGGGAGCTGAATAATGGTCCACCAAGATTTTCCTATCCCAACCCAGACACCTGTGAATGTTCCCTTATATGGTAAAAGGGATGCTGTGAAAGTGATTAAATTCAAGGTCTTGAGGTGAGCAGATTATTTTGGATTATCATGATGATCCGTCAGTGAAACGACAAATGTTCTTACCAGACAGAAGCATGGGAAAATTTGACTAGAAAGAGGAGAAAGTGAACAAAGACCAAAGCAGAGATTGAGGGAAACACTTTAAAAATAAAAGAAGGGTCTCCAAGCCAAGGAATACAGAAAACCACCAGAAGCTAAGAAGACCAAGGAAACCATCCTCTCCTCAGGGACTCCAAAATAAATAGCCCTGCCAACACCTTTATCTCTGGCTTCTAGAACTATAGGAGAATAAATCTGTGTTGTGGTAAGTCACCAAGTGTGTTATAATTTGTTTCAGCAGCAATTGAAAATGAATAGAAACCTACTATACTTACCTTCAATTTTATTTGGCATATAGAGTTAGATATGCACATGGGAACTGGGAATATTATTTGTATTATGAAATTAACATAACTTTATTCATTATATTCATAGCAGTAATAAGCATGTGCACAGAAAATGACCTGAAATTTCATAAGCGTGCTTTGTTGGGCATAAGCTACTGAGTAGATTATAGTTTCAATAGGAAAATGTAAGGATGAGATGAAAAAAAGAAAGAAGTGAGGTTTTAAGCCAACTGAAGAATGTAAACCCTAGTAAGCTACAGAGCAGTAAATGATAAAGCTTTCAAGCTACTGATGCTATATGGAATAGCATTGATATCAGAACTCTGTAGTGACGGCCAAGGGTTCTAGTACCGCACTGTCCCAGCATGCTTCGGCTGAAATCTAGGGTTTGAGAGTGCCATGTGGATATTGAGCACTTGAAATGCAGCAGGTGCAACTGGAACCCTAGATTTCAGTTTTATTTCATTTTCAATCATTTAGTAGTATAGGCCTAGGTGGTTGGCATTATTGAACAGAACAAATCTTAGAAAACTAGTTTGAGAAGATACTGTTCTTAGTTAAAAATGAAGACATGTTTCTACTACAAAAGAAGTCAACTCGGGCATTTTCAGTGGACATTTTTAATCGACCTCAGCGTTTCCCACAGGTCAACCTTCAGGATGCTGCATAAACTACACAGCATATGAGAAGTCATTTAGCACACAGATTATTTGGTGGTGTAGGTTATTATTGTTAGTTTTTGAATTAAGTCACCATGAAATTACAAAGTTATTCATGACTGGGTTTCAGGCACACAAAATACCAACATAAATCCCTTCACCAGTGTCCACTCCTCTCCTCCAATCCCCTTAAACCCCATTTTGCCTCCCACCCACTGGTCTGTTTCAAACAGGTATTTGCCCTGTGGTTGACAGTATTGTTACTAATGGGGTTCCAGGTATAACACAACTCATTTGTACACATCAACTCCTTGGGTCTCCAATAGCTAACCCTCAAATTTTCTTTGTTATCAGAAAATAATTAAGGGGTTCAGGGGAAAACTGGAAGGGAAACAAAGATTAGGTAGGGAAGGTAAATGAGTTGCTGAGAGAGGGTATGGAATTCTTTTGTAGATGGTGAAAATGTTCTAAGATATGGTGCTAAGGGCTGCACAACACTTGAATATACTAATCACTGAACTGTACAGTCTCGAAGAGTGAATCTTGGAAGTTTGTGGGTTATATTTTACTATATTAAGAATGTCACAGTTACGGTCACAGTCCTCCCATTATTCATCGATTTGCTCGAGCGGGCCCAGTAAAGTCTTCATCGTGAGACTTGTTGTGACTGTATTTGGCATATCAAATACGTCACGGGTAGCTTGCCAGGCTTTGCCGTGCGGGTGAGATACTCTCGGTAGCTTGCCGGGCTCTCGGAGAGGGACTGAGGAATCAAACCTGGCTCGGCTAGGCCGGCTGCATGCAAGGCAAATGCCCTACCACTGTGCTATTGATCCAGCCCATTAAGAATGTATATAATATATAATGATACATGTTAATAATGTTATATAAAATCTTACCTCTGAAGAACTAGTTCTAATGGCCACCTGGACATCTCTTTCTGTCTAAAAGGAAGTCTGTTGTCTTACATTTAATAGCAGATCTTTCTTTTGACTTTGGCATTTCTTTCAATGATATTTAAATTTCCCCAGTTGCCCAGGTTTGAAAACTCATCACTGTCACTGACTTTCAGTCTGTTCAGCACAGCTTACTTATTGAGACCCACTAAGTCCAAGCTCTTTAAATATATTCTCGCCCGTGAGTTAGATATTATGAACTACCTTTTATAGATGGCACAAATGAGATTAAGAGGTCACATTTTAGTAAGTGGCAGATCAGAGCTCTGAATCCACATCTGATTTGGTGACTGAATCATATCACAGTCCATTCTACAGTGTCATCTATCTCTCACATTTAAGCAGGAGTCCAAACTTTAGTTGTTCTTTGATCCAAACTAGAAAAGAAGTCAAACTATCACTGTTGGCAGATGACATGACAATATACATTGAAAACCATAGACTCCACAAAATACCTCAGAATAATAAAATACAGTGAGGTATCAGATCACAAAATTAATACATAAAATGTAAGTGGAACACAGACATCCTCATTTGTTTATGTGTTGCTGTGGCTTCTCTGGAATCATAGCAGAAGAGTCAGAGGCGCTATGGTTACATGGTCGACAAAGTTGCAAATGTCTCAAATATTTACTACCAGGCCCTTTTGTAAACAATGTTTTGGCCAGAGAATACAAGGGCTAAGGTGTCTGCCTTGCATGCGACTGACCCTGGTTCAATCCCTGGCATTTCATCTGGTACCCTGGGCTCTGCCAGGAATGACTCATAAGCACAGAGCTAGGAGTACCCTCTGAGCACCGCTGGGTGTGTCCCGATCCATCCACCATAAAGTTCGCTGACCTGTGGCCTAGAACATTGTTTTATCACCAAGCAGAAAGAGTTCTCTGTCTTCATTTAGTCTATCCTTGCCTGGGCTTTAGGGCATACAAAATATGGGTCCACAAATGAACAATATTTTAACATCATGTATTCCCATGCTTGTTCATCAGTAGCTGGTCACAGGCACTTTGATATATTCCTTTCTTTGACAATGAGTGAAAATCCTCGTTACTAATTTGGATGAATAAGACACTCCAAATGATTTCCCTTTTCCTTATTTAGGGACATGAGACTAAACTGATGATAAACATTCATGGGCAAGTTAAAAGCATTATGCCACTTTGCTGTATACTCTCTGCGCTGGATGTGTTGCAGTACTGTTCACAATACCAACAAGCTTCAGCATATCCAGCTGGGATGTGTGTGAGGCAGCGCTAACCTGCTCTGGGGACTGTTTAACACCTGAATTGCCCGACCGAGGAATACACTATCCACAAGTCTTCAGTGCTTCATAATCTCTAACTGTGTATGCCCTTCTATGTTTTATTTTTGTTTCTTTTTTTTTTGGGGGGGGGTGACACCCAGCAGTGCTCAAAACTTACTTCTGGCTCTGTGCTCAGGGATCATTCCTGGCATTGCTCAGGGGACCAAATGGGATGCAGAAGATTGAATCTGGGTGGCTGCATGCAGGGCAAGTCCCCTGCCTGCTATCTCTCCGGCTCTTCTTTTTCTATTTTATAAGGCCCAAACCCAGCACTGTTGGGGGACCTGGGGCCACTCCTAGGGATGTTCCAGTGTCTAACTCCTAAACTCTCATCTGCTCTAATCGGTACTCCGGGGTGTGCTGATTAGCATAAGTAATATTAAAATCATTTTCCCCTGGTGAAATTAAGGTATTCAATCTGTGCGGAGTAGTGAAAACTAATATAGCAGTGCTTGCTGTCCTTTGATCACCAGGGTGTAAGATTAGACTTTAGCAGTTTATGGCCCCTTGGAATAGATTTTCCTTCTAATTCTTCTAGCTGATTGCTGGAGAGTTCTAAAGTCTCACTGGGTCTTGTCTGTAGAACATCTCTTAACAGAAGCTGAGAAGCCAGAAGAGCCAGGGCTTCATCAAGCTTCCAAGAACAAACTGTGAAGCCAATCTGGTTGCCTATGCACAACTGGGGTGTGGCAGGTTTGACACACATGCCTGAGACTTGCATATGAGGCAGGGAGGTTCTCTGGGAGGAAACCTACAGCCCTCACCCGCCTCAGAGCCACAGATCCTGTGTCTATGTCTGTCCACCCCAAGTGTAGAAAAACAGCTGCCACAAAACCTCTTTTTTTCTGTGGCTCCACATTTACGAGACACACAAAGTCAGTCAAAATACCCAAAAAAGTCATCTGGAAGTTCCTGAATGAACACTTAAACACATTTATGGGCAACGTGTGAATTTCATAGACTCTATTATGACACTCGAATAATGAAAACAATCACCGTAATACCTCCTTTTAACTCATTAGACGCCTTTAATCGATAGTTACTTCTACCTATTACACGTCTAGACTTCAAAATCAAAACAAAAATGATCTTGTTCCGGGAGACCTGATCTCTTCCTGGGCATCGGGAAGGGAGGCCGCCAGGAGCAGCTCAGGGACACGGGGGTCATTCCTGGCAATGCTCCTGGACAGTGCTTGGGGGCCATGGAGAATCAGGGATCAAAACTGGGTTCTTATGCATGCAAGGCATGTGTCCCCAGCCCTTAGAAAGATGCATTTTGTCTGAAGTGATTGGAAGCTATGTTGTAAATACCCAGGAGTCCCTGTGCCCCACTGTAGCTGGAACATGTACCCTACTGTCCTGCACCAGCCCTTCTCTACCGAGGTTCTCCCCAGGCAGTCTGACCATGGCCTCCATTTGCTGGTGTAGACCATGGATCACTGCAGCTCCATCATGTGGCTTTGAAGCTAGGGCGACTCTGCCCCCAGAAACAAGGCGGCTTCTTCAGTCCACCCCAAGGATAGGAAGGGGGCACATAAAGCAGCCTTTGTGGGCTGGGAATAAGTTGTTTTTTCATGACTAAATCCATTCATCACTTCCAAGGCTCCTGGTACGAGGCTAGGTATTGGTGCAGCCACGTATCATGCTCCAAAAATAAGTCTAAAATGTGGCCGCTATGCTACGGAAAATGAATCATCTGTTTTCATTTCATTCCCGGTCAGTGAAGGTTCAGGAAATGAATGCTGCTGGCACGAAACAGTTAAGCGATGATGCAAAATAGCCCATCCGGTGAAGATGAAAGCTGTGCCTGAACTAGACTGAGTTCAATGCAAAGGAAAACCATGAAAGTTGCTTTGATTCGATTCCTGGGCATGGCAGGACAGGGGTAGGTCTGTGCAAATGCCCAGCATCAGGATAAACTCTTGATAGGAATGATGGTGTCTGTGTGGCCCGGCCAAGAGCTGCCTGGAAGAAAACAGCTGGGAGTGTTGGTATTGAGATGGTAAAAACCCAACTCTGAACCACTGACTCTTCACTCGTCTGTGCTGGCAGCCTCGCCTCTTCCTCTATAAAGCCAGGCTAAACCAAAGAATCCAGAAACTTGGCCTGTAGGACTGACTGAGTCCAGTCCATAAAGACAGAGAAAAATGAGGACAAGAGAGCGAGTTGTTCACCAATCTAGATTTATTTGATATTGAGGCTGGAAAGATAGTACAGTGGGTAGGGCACTTGCCTTCCATTCAGCTGGCCCAGGTTCAATCCCTGGTACCCCTTAGGGTCCCCCAAGCATTGCCAACAATGATCCCTGAGTTCAGAGCCAGGAGTAAGCTCTGAGCTGGATATGGCCCCAAAATTCAAATCAGAACAAAAATGTGTGCTATGGAAATGACTATCCTCAGCTTGCAGGCTGAGCCCTCATCCTAATCTTAGTAGCGACATGTCCTTCGATTTATTAAGGAATAGTGAAGTGGATTGAGTTGGGGGTCTGCATGGACTTACCTGGCAGCAAGAGGATGGCACCACAATGCTCTGGGTGAAATCAATCCCATTACATGGAAAGAACCTGCTCATCCAGGAAGGACCTGATCCAAAAAGGCTCTGAATCAGGTGGTAAAGTTCCCATGGAGGGTGACAAATACATGTGCCAGGCGTCCAGATTCCCCGTCCTCCTCCCCCCCGCAAGTAGTTTTCACAAGTCTCTGGGTATTTTTTAAAATACAGGTGAACTCTATTTGCTCCTTGGTCTAAAAAGACATGACAGGGGCTGGAGAGATAGCGCAGCGGGTAGGGCGTTTGCCTTGCACACGGCCGACCCGGGTTCGATTCCCAGCATCCCATATGGTCTCTCAAGCACTGCCAGGAGTAATTCCTGAGTGCATGATCCAGGAGTAACCCCTGTGCATCACCGGGTGTGACCCAAAAAGCAAAAAAAAAAAAAAATGACATTTACACACCTTTGCAGGTCCTTTTGCCACCGCTCTGCTCTCTGTCCACTTCCCTGAGGCATGGAACATGCCAACACTCCCCTCCACTGGCCAGCACTGCCCACGCCCTTCCCGCCTCCTGCCTTTTCCCCAACCAGCTCCTTTGCCCAGGCCCAGAATCTCCAGCAGTTGTTTGTACACTCCATATTTGCTCTTTGACATCTAATGCCCTGTTTTGCTCTGAATTTTTTCCCTATTCCGCTCCCCCACCCCTTCCAATAAATTGCCCCCTCTTCTGTGTTTATGGAATACTCTGCAAGGACTTCTATTGCATTGGAAAAGAACATTTAGCTCCACATATCTCCCACTTTTCTCCAGGACCCTTGGCCAAGAAGTCTACCTGGTTTCCGAAACTCAGATATTTACAGAACTAAAATATATTGTTTGAGGTTTATACAAGAGGGGGGAATGTTTTCCATAACCCCAATCATAAATAAACGGCGACTTATATGTCCAAATCACCAGGATTCAGACAGGCCTTGTCCCAACCTCAACTGCCCTCTGTTTTAGGTCATTTGTGCCTTCTGTTCCACCCTGAAAGTCTCCCTTGGCTTCAAGTTTACAGTGGAGAGATTTATCCAATCCTTGTCCTGAGCTCAGGCTATGATGGAGGAAAGGAAGATCTTTTCAGGCACGAAATGGATCTGGGTGAAGCAGGAAAGGGACAGGAAGAATCCTCGGGAGGAGAAATCTGGTTTCTTTCCCAACTCCCTGGGGTTGGCTGGGGTCTTTTGGAGTTGGGTGGGCACAGATTTAAAAAAAAAAAAAAGCCACCTGTGTGTATGTCTCCTGTGGTTGAGGATGGGAACGGACCGACCGGACAGAGAGGGCCAGGATGGCCTGGCAAACACACAGATAACATTTTACACGGTGGGGGAGAGGCAGCCACACTCAGGCGCAAATCCAATAGAGTTGGAAATACTCACCGGATTCGGGGAAGAGTGGGTGGGCGAGCGACTGAAGCAGGGTGCAGGAATCAAGGTGAGGTCAGGTAAGATTGTAGGTTAGGGTAGCTGAGCTGTCAGGGCGTGATTGGGGGAGTGGGGGGGCAGAGATAAGGAGCTGGCAGGGGGGTGGGGTAGGAGGCGCGATGTTCCTAGGCTAAAGTCGGAGGGTCCCCGGAAGGGGGCCTCTTTCTGCTCCCTGCGTGTCCCCGTCACTGGGGCCCCTTGCAGCCTGCGCGGGCCTCCGCGGCTCCGAGGTCACTGCAGCAACTTGCGAGGTGCCCCGACGGGCCAGCTCCGGTGAGCTCCGCGGGGGGCTGGCGGGGGGCCTGGCCGAGGGGCGCAGAGCCGGCGTGTGGGCATGTGGGTGTGTGCATGAGCGTGGACCCGGAGCGACACACACTCACACACACACACTCACACGCCCGCACGCACGCAGGGCCCTCGGCCGCGCCGCGCGCCGCCCGGACCTTCGCCCCCTCGAGCGCGGGTGCTTGGGACCCCCGGCGATCTCCCCCGGCCGGACGGTGTCTCTGCGTTAGGTCGGGGAGGCGGGGGACAGGCAGAGACGCGACGGCAGGGTCTCCCCCCAGCACCCCGCGCGGCTGTCCGCGCACCGCCCGCCGGGGAAGGGGTTGGGGAGAGGGCGCCGGGGCTCTTACCGCTCGGGCGGCCGGGTGCGCGCGGGAGCGCCGGGCGGGTCCCGCCCCGCCACGTCGGCAGGGCCGGCGGGGACGCGGCCGGAGGGCGGGCCGGAGGGGGGACCCAGGGGCGGGCGGCCGGGCTGCTCCGCCCCGCGGCCGGCCACAGAGGGACCCCGCCCCCGCGCGCGCCCCGCCCGGCCCTGCACCGCCCGGCGCCCCGCTCCCCCTCACCCCACAAGTGGCCCTAGGGGGTGCACGGCTGCTTCCCGAGCTGGGGAACTCGGCTTCTTTCGTCCGGGAGAGCTGCAGAGGGGCCCATGCCCACTCGGGGAGGATCTCGGGGTCAGTCTAGACTCCTTTTCTTCTAAAAAGCGCCCGAAGCATCCCATTAGACGGAGTCGCCGGCAAGGGCTCGCCCAAGTTTGGCAGGAGTTTGCGCTCCTGGGATTCTGCGCGAGACAGCTCTGGTGTCTGTGGGCGTGTTGCCGGATGCCGAAGGAATCGAGCAAGCAAGCAAGCAAGCAAGCAAGCCAAAGCTCGGGATGGTCGGTTTGGGAACGGGGAGCAAAATTCGAATGCATTCCCTTTCTTGCCCAAGAGTTTCACGCCAGTGTCTTTGTACCCAGACAAGGATTAGATGCCAAGTGTGTGAGCGCAAGCATGCTTATTTTCGTTGCATCGCACGGCACGGGAGAACCGAACTCTACGTGGCTTTCGGGAAGGAACTGTTGATGTCAACTACAGTGAACTTCAGAAGAAAGGCTACACCGTGGTCTTTTTTTTTTTGGGGGGGGGTCACCCCAGAGACCTAATGCGCATGTTTTGTATGCAGGCGGGAGGAAGGCCTGCTGGGAGTAGCCAAAAGAAGTACAATCTCCACTGTAAGATTCGTTTGTTGACCCTGAAGCTGCTCAGGGCTTCGCCAAATATTAAGTAGAGGAAGGAGAAAGCTCATAAAACTATGCATAGCATAACAGTCTCCTTGTAAAGGGATGTGCATATGCGATAGCACGACCCGGCAAGATAGCGTTAGGGAGCGTGCGGGTATTTTAAAACTGGCATTCTGAGTTCCACAAGCGTGCGAGCCTTAGCGCTTCCCTCTTTCAGGTGCCCCAGGTGTGTTTCAGGTGTGTTTGGGTGTACCGAGTGACATCAGAGCCTGTCCAGAGGCAGCCGCACCTTGCCCTGGCCCACACTCCCCGTCCCTCCCTGCTGTGCAGAGTAACGACAGGTAACTTTTAAAGGTCCTTGACCCACACCACTCCAAGCCAACAGACGTGAACCTCCGTAAAAGTTCAGCAGTAGGCTGAAGGTATTAAAACATGAAAAAGTAGAAACAAATTTTCTTTCTTTCTTTCTTTCTTTCTTTCTTTCTTTCTTTCTTTCTTTCTTAAATTGAGTCACCGTGAGATACTATTTAAAAGGTGTTCATGATCAGGTTTCAGTCATACAACCATCCTACACCCATCCCTCTACCATTGTCCATTTTCCACCACCAAGGACCCCAGTTTCCCTCCCGACTCCTCCCTCTCCCCTAACCTGCCTCTATGACTCTGTGGCAGGTACTTTCCTTCTCTCCCTCTCCTCCCAGCCCTCCCTCCCTACCCCTGTCCCCTCTCCTTCTGAGCAGGGTCTGCAACACAGATACTGAGAGGTTACAGTGTTTATTCCTTTACCTGCTTTCAGCAAGCAGTTCCTATCCAGATTTATCATTTCCAACTATCCTTAAAACTTCCTTCTCTTTCCATTGCCTTCTCCCCCACCACTTTCGGCCAGCTTCCAACTGTGGACTAACCCTCCTGGCCCTTGTTAAAGACAAATTCCTATGTGTGTAAAATGGCAAATTCTTATGTGTGTAAAAAGAGTAGAGAATACTATGCTGATACTTTAATTTTACGCATTTTAATTTTTGCTCTATTTTAGGCTCGAGCGATAGCACAGCGGTAGGGCGTTTGCCTTGCACGCAGCCAACATGGCCAACCGGAGTTCGATTCCTCCGCCACTCTCGGAGAGCCCGGCAAGCTACCGAGAGTATCTCGCCCGCACGGCAGAGCCTGGCAAGCTCCCCGTGACATATTCGATATGCCAGACACAGTAACAACAAAGTCTCCAATGGAGACGTTACTGGGCCCGCTCGAGCAAATCGATGATCAACGGGAGGGCCTTTACTTTACTTTACTTTACTCTATTTTAGGACCTTCTTTCATTATTTTTTGAGGGGTGAGTGCTCCATCCATTGGTATGCTGGGGTCCTCTTCTAGACTCTGGGTGGCTCCTGGTGATCCTGGACGGCTGGAGAGGGAAACTGGGCTCCAGCATGAAAAGCACATGCTCCAGCCTTTGAGTTGTCTTCCTGAGCCAGGACCTTCTTGTAAACAAAAAAGAAGTGATACCAGTAAGTGTGAGATGGTTCTGTCCATTCCCCACCCCACCACTGCCTGGGCTTGCTGTGTCTTCTCCCCGTTTATAGCCCCACACATACTATATGCATCCCAACTCAGCGCCATCTATAGAATGTTTTTCAAAGTTTTAGACTTTGATAAAATAGAATCCTGTAGATGTTTTTACTCTACGCCATGAGAATGTCATTTAGGTGACATTTGGCAATCATTGCTCTTCCTTCATGTCTGTAGAATATTCATTTCAGGGGGTTTGTTCCAGAGTTTAATTTTATTTTTGTATGAAAGTGTGTTTGTGGTTTCTTTTTGTTTTGTCTTTATTTTGGTTTGGGGGCCACACTAGCTGGTGCTCAGCGGTTGCTACCAGCTTTGTTGAGAGAATCATATGGTGCCAGATATTGAACCGAGGCCTTCAATATACAAAGCCTTTGAGCTGTCTCCCCCGTTTCTTATTTAATTTATTTTGTGATGCCAGGGATCAAACCCTGAGCCACACACAGGCAAGGCATATGCTCTATCACTATCACTAGGCCACACTCTCTGACTCTAAAAGTCATTGTGTATGTGTATGTGTGTGTGTGTGTGCGGCGCACGTGTTCATGCATGCTCATGTGTGTTTTTTTTTCACTTAATCACTTAATCACTTAACTTCCCGTTAGTCGTCGATTTGCTCGAGCGGGCGCCAGTAACGTCTCCATTTGTCCCTGTCGCGTGCTAGTGTAGCCCAATGGCATCTGTTCGCTCCGGGAACCTGAAGGGCCTCAAACCGATCGTTCATGATCTTGATGAAGAAGTCTGACCATCTGGAAGGTGGGCGGCCACGCGGTCTTTTGACATCCCGTGGAATCCAGTCGGTAACAGCTCTAGTCCAGCGGTCATCTTTAAATCTCATTACGTGACCAGCCCATCTGATTTTCGACACCTTGGCAAATGAGACAGCGTCCCTGATTCTTGATCGTGGATGGATGTCAGAACTCCGGATTTTTTCTCTCATTTGAGTGAAACGTGATATTCCAAGCATAGCTCTTTCTATCCTTCTTTGGGAGACCTGAATAGCGTTCTCATCTTGTTTGCGTAGGGCCCAGGTCTCTGAGGCATATGTTAATGCAGGAAGAACAGTGGAATCAAAGAGATGTGCTCGGAGCCGGAGGTTCTTTGTCCTCTTAGCTATTGCTTCGCCCATCTTCGAAAACTCTTGAGCTAATTCGCCAGCGTGGTTTGGCGCATGCCTCAGGCAACCGCAAGCTAACATCCGAGCTCGCAAAGCAGTGCAGAGATGCGATCAAGGAAGACCTCAAAGAGAGAAGAGCAGAAGTACTGATAGATGTAGCAGAAGCCAGGAAAAGTATTCCTAACGCCCGCCTGTCCTTCGCCAACTATAAGACCAAGATGACTGCCCTCCGACGTCCTGATGGATCCATCACATCCTCCAGAACGGCAATGGAGAAGATTATCCATGACTTCTACTCAAATCTCTTCGATAGCCATGTCCACTTGCCGACATACCAAATTCCACAGGATGGATATGTCGTTCCCAATGTTCTCCCTTCCGAAATCCGACACGCCATTTCGTCGGTAAAGAAACAAACAGCACCCAGCCCAGACGAGGTCAGACCTGAACACCTGAAGAACCTGCCGTCAGTACTAATCAATACACTGGCTCGGCTGTTCACTCGCTACCTGTCTGAATGCAAGGTTCCATCCCAATAGAAAACCAGCAGGACCATACTAGTGTTCAAGAAGGGAGACATCCATGACATTGGCAACTATCACCCGATCTGCCTATTGTCTGTCATCTACAAGTTGTTCACTCGAGTCATCCTGAATAGGATTGGCAGAACACTAGATGAAGGACAACCATGCGAGCAAGCAGGGTTCCGCAAAGGATTCAGCACCATCGACCATATCCACACAATAACCAAGCTCATTGAGGTTTCTCGGGAGTTCAAGATGCCGCTCTGTTTAACGTTCATTGATTTAAAGAAGGCCTTTGATTCTGTTGAGACAGAAGCGGTCATTGAAGCCCTAGCCAATCAGGGCATTCAAGCCCAATACATCAGGATCCTCCGTGAGCTGTATTGCGGATTCACTACCAGGATCTCACCATTCTACAAAGAAGTGATCGTTGATGTCAAGAGAGGGGTGTGGCAGGGTGATACCATTTCACCGAAACTCTTCAGTGCCACCCTCGAGAACATCATGCGACAACTGGAATGGGAAGGAATGGGAGTGAAGATAGATGGTCGGCAACTACACCACCTCCGCTTTGCTGATGACATTGTTTTAATAACACCAAACATCAGCCAAGTGGCACAAATGCTGGCTGACTTTGACCGTGAGTGTGGAAAGGTAGGACTACAGCTGAATCTTACGAAGACAATGTTTATGAGAAACAACCTTGTTCCTGACGCCCCATTCGCTCTCAATGGAATGACCATCTCCGAATGCAACAGCTATGTGTACCTAGGTCGAGAGGTCAACATGACAAATGACCTGGCACCCAAGCTGCGCAGGAGGAAGAGAGCGGCTTGGAACGCCTTCAAGAACGTCGAAGTGTTTTATTTATTTTTATTTATTTATTTTGCTTTTTTTGGTCACACCATTGATGCACTGGGGTTACTCCTGGCTCTACACTCAGGAATTACCCCTGGCGGTGCT